TGAACTGATGTGAATTTGGTCAAAAACAACAAAACAATTTTAAAGCTTTCCGAGCAAGACACTGTGCTTTCACCAGCAATAAACAAATTCTTTAACGAAAATTGACTCGGTTATGATCATAATTATCTTATAAATAACAAAGAAATTAGCAGAGGAACAGCAGAAATATAAAGAAAAAATTAACAGCAAACAACTGCAGCGGAAATAATAACAGCAACCACTAATCTGCAAGCAACAACATCAGCAGCAACAGGTCGACATCAGAAGTACCGGAACATATGAAGCAACAACTAGCAGCGACGGCATCTAGGGTTAGGACTTAAATTGAATCTAAATAAATAAATAAAAACTGAACCTCAACTTTATGTGTTCTTTATTAACACCGATAGGACCACGACATTACAATTAGTGGCGATTGGAAACATTTCACCTTGTATGGCCCACTGAATTTTTGACTTAGTTTCGCGGCAATGTGATCAACCGCTTTAGACAAAGTATGGTTCCTTACCAGGACTTAATCCCCTATTTTCGGTTTCCAGTCCCTACGGCGGAGATTGTGATGCCTTGCCTGTTCGATCGAAGAGTACTGCATATTTTGCCTTACCACTTACATGATAATTTGTAATTTCTGGGCTTTGTCGGTAGGAGAGATTGGCACGTCACCGGTACCTGGAGTGACCTTGTCAAATTGATTAGCAGGCATACGTGGTTCTCGCCCGAAATTCAAAAAAGCTGCTGAGAATCCCGTAGATTCGGCTACACTTGAGTTCATCGCTAGTGTAATTTCTGGCAAATATACGTCCCAATTTCTGTGGTCGCCTTCCGTGAGCTGACTGATAAGGGTCTTAACGGTCCTATTAGTCCTCTCTGTGGGGTTTTCATATGGGGCGTATGGAGCGGTAAACTGTTGTGTTATACCCAAATCTGAGAAAAAAGTTCTAGTAGCCCGATTGGTAAACTGGATCCCATTATCTGATAATAAGACTTTTGGTACACCGAAGCGCGCAAGAATACTTTCTCTGAAGGCCTTTTGAAGGCCGATTGTGGTCGCCTTCCGTTGCGGTACTAGCTCAACCCATTTTGTGAACTTATCCACAAAGACCAGAAGCATGCAGTTTCCTTGTTTGGACCTTGGCAATGGTCCAACAATGTCCGCGCAGATGGTACACCATGGTTCTTCTGCTAATCGTGTTAGCATTAGTCCGGCAGCAGCCTGTTGGTTCGGTTTAAACCTCTGGCACGAATCGCAACTTCGCACATATTTACTAATATCGCGAAACATACCTGGCCAAAAACACAGTTTTGATATTCTTTGCTTAGTTTTCCTTACTCCGAAATGTCCTGCTACAGGTACGGTGTGATTCTCCCGTAATATCTGTTGTTTTAGAAGCGTTGGCACACATAATATCCGTGGCTTATTGTCCTCGTCCTGATCATAGCTGGGTATATGTCTATACAGCTGATCATTTTCTATGGTGTAGTCTGCGAATTTCTTTGGATACAGTTTAACCTCCTCTTTTCGTTTGTGAACCCAGTCTGGTTCAGCACACACACCGTCGCTGGTTTTTATCCTTCTAACTGAGGCTGCAGTTCCTTCCGGTTGACGCGATAATGCATCCGCCACCACATTGTATTTACCTTTCCGATATTAAACTCTACCTACGATATTTGGCCAATCCGTTGTACTTGAGGCCTCATTCCTTGTTAACTTACTAAGTCTTTCAAACTCGTTCGCCAATTGTATTAAATCGTCTAATGACGAGAACTCACGACGCTTAATATGTAGCTGGTATTCCGGCATACTATTATGATAGAGCCGGTTTAATTGTTGTTCTCTCGTGTGTCCGGCTTGTCGCATCAAATCCTGCAGCGCCAACATGTAGTTCTTAAACGATTCGTTTTTCAATTGATGTCGGTTACGAATGGTGTCCTTTAATTCCTCAAAATAGTTACTGGGCAAGAAAAACGCGAAAAAATCTTGTTTGAATTTACTTCACCTCACCCATCGTCGATTATTGTTACGAAATCAAATTAAAGCTCTTCGTATTAGCACCTCTGGCATTAATTTTGGTAAGATGTCTTTTGAGATATTGTATACCTCGGCAAGCTCCTCCAACCTTTCGATAAATGGTAACGCTGGTGTTTTACCATCATAATGCAGAGCCCATTTACGCACCTGATTGGTTATTCTTGCTATGTCGCCAAAATCCTCTTCAGTTGGCTTGGTTTCTGAAACGGATGGTTTGTATGGTTCAGGTTCATGATTCATCGGTTTAGGCGAGCTTCCCCGGTTATATTTCGCTTCAATTTCAAGATACTTATTTCCTGGCTCCTCTCCCTTCATTACTAATTCACGTAACCGCTTACGAAGGTCCTCTACTATTCCCGTGGTGTCATCGTCGAATTCCTCCAGCATCACTACTAGATCTTCCCTACCTGCCGCCGCAATCCACGCTGTCTTAACCATATTGGATGTTTACGATATAAATAACCAAAAGAAATCGAATCTAGTCTAAATCTAATCTAAACACGAGTCCCTGCTCGGGCGCCACTTGTAACGACCTTTCCGGCATCTACCGTGGCCGGGGTATACTCAGCGTATACCAGAGTTCAGTACAAGAACTTAACAACAAAGAGCTAGAAATTGGAAAGAAAACTATAGGTCTAAGAATTTTCCTTGTAAACGAAGATGAGAGGTGCAGTAATGTAATTTAATTTTTTTCTAATTTTTTTTCTTTTATTTATGACTACAAATTTCCAAGTACAAATTTTTCAATTACGATCAATAAAATATCTAAAAGAAATTAATTAACAAAGCAATTTTTGTTTTCCGCGTATCAATTTTTTTTTTATATATTTCCCCTCGCAACTATTCACTAATTTTTGTGATAATGAAAACTACGAAGTAAAAAAAAACAAATCACACTCACCGCAGTTGTAGTGATGACGTCACCGCTCCTCTGCTGTACCTGGGATATGTTTTTAAACAAAAAAAAACCCAACCAAAGTTGAATCTCTATATCATAAATATTTACAAATATACGGGGGTGGAGAAAAAAAATTAATAGGCTATATTAAATTACAAATAATTAGAGGGGTTTATTCTGATCGCTTTACATATAGTAAGTAAAACAATATGCATTACAAAATGTCTCTACAAAAAGAGTAGCTTTGAAAAGAAATAAAGAATAGGCAAAACCCAAAAAGTTAAACTTTCAATTCGTTGAACTTGTGTTTCCAAAAATAAAGCTGTAGTTTATAAGCTCGTTCTAATTTAAAGCACGGCAAGTGCTTTGGTTGTTGTCACTAATTAAATAAAAATAAGTGACAATAAAAACATGGAACTTGAGCATTGAAAGTTTGTGCAGCCTTGGCTTCTTGTGGATAAACACGATTAGTCATCGCTTCTAATTTGACAGGCACGAGTTCTAAGCCTGGCACTTGCAGTCCAAACAAATTATATACGGACTATAAACTAATTAAATAAAATTCGATTATTCCCAAAGACCACTGATGAAGAGTACTTGGCAATTTTCGAAACAGCGTTGTATGGTCAGCCAAACTTCAATAAAATTAAAAAAATAAATTTTTGTGTTTGTCCTTTATTTCTTTCTTTGTTATTCGAAAACCCCTCTAAATTTTAATAAAGCTTCTTTGTCACTATACAAAGTAAGTCTAGCCTTACAGCAACACTAATACTGCATCCGTAATTGTAATAAACAAATAATTATAAAAATACATTACACGATTTATACCGTATATTCTAAATTTTTATGGATATTCTTAGTTATTTTATAAAAGAGTACTTCAAAAAAAAAAAAAAACTAAGTAAATAGATAACTAATGTAATAAGTAACAGTATTCATTTAACATACTTCAATTAATTATATTTAAATTTCATGGATATTCTTAGTTATTATATAAAAGAAAATTAAATCGGAGTACTTTCAAAAAAAAAAAAAATTAAGTAAATAGATAACTAATGTAATAAGTAACAGTATTCATTTAACATACTTCAATTAATTATATTTAACTTTCATGGATATTCTTAGTTATTATATAAAAGAAAATTAAATAATACTTCAAAAAAAATTAAGTAAATAGATAATTAATGCAATAAGTAATTTATTTAGTTATTATTGCTATTCTGGCAATTGATGTCTTATTGTTGTTAACGTTCGCGCCACTGCTACTGTTGCCGTCGCCGTTGCTGTCCCAAGTGTCAGTTTGATTTTATCACATTCCATGCATTCGATACTTGATTTATTGATATTAAAAAAAACGTTCATTGGATATATATTATTGAAATATAAAAATTGTTAGATGTTAACTCTTTTCTATTGTTTAATTTCGTATTTATAATTTAGTTAGTAATATATTTGAATTTCTTTAAACACTTCATTTGGTTTCCTTTGTGATTAATAATGTAACATATTCTGCGGTAAAGCAAAGGCACTAGAGATGGACACACGTCTCTCAAAAAAAAAATTAGTTTTTTTATATAATTTTTTTTTTATTTAAAATACTTGATAGTTGTTATGGTATAAAACACTGTTCCAGGGTATAAATTTATATATTAACAACTTCACGCCGCTTCCGATAAGAGTTTCATATTGTTTGAGATTTGGCACAGCAACTAGGCGATATGGCAGCACACATTTAGTAGTTTTTGACGATGGCATCCTAACATCTGGCAGCGATAATTTTAGCTTCGCTTTTTTGCTTTTTCCTTCCCCTTCTTCTTAATTGGCTACTGGCGGTGTGTGCACGTTTTTTTGGCTTGACAAGATATTAATAATTTATCAGTTCAAAATTTGAATAAGAATGTAATAAAATTTAATTGACTATATCCTTAACGAATAAATACATAAACTTTTGCGTGTGTGGAAATTCGTGTTTGTTTTTCATACATTTGTTGGTGCCGAAACCCGGGAATTTCGGTTTTTATTTAAAATTAAATTGCGTTTTTGGCTTTTTTGGCGTTTTTATACGAAGAAAATATGGCTGCCCTAAATAAGCGTACGGCTGCGTGGTCATCATTAAAGCGGGTAGCTGCAAAAATAGTGGCGGATGACTACGTTGAGGATGGCTTTGGTATGCAGCAAGATCGTGCAACATTGCAGGCACACTTCGAAAAACTAGAAACTGCACATGGTGAGTTGGTGGCTTTGGCAAGAGATGATACTGAATTATGGTCTCACATCAAGTTGTGGGACGAGGTGGAAGACTTATATAACGAGGCGTGCGTTGCATTGCGGCGTGAGTTGGCCCGTTGTGATGCACAAAATACGGATGCACCTTCCAATATGGCAGGCGGTGCTGTATCTTCCCAAGGCTTGGCAATTAAATTGGAACGATTGGCGGTACCCAAGTTTGATGGCACGATGCGCAATTGGCTGGCATTTAAGGACACATTCGAGACATTGGTACATTCGCAAGAGTTTCCAGAGGCATACAAGCTTGACAAACTGCGAGAGGCAGTCCATGGTGATGCAGTGGCGCTTGTCGGAGGCATGTACAGTGGCGGGTACGATGAGGTATGGGCTGCACTGAAGGCTCGATACGACAATCCGAAACAGTTGGCTGAAATACACGTGGCTAGGCTAATTGGCTTCAACCCACCACATGCTGAGTCAACATCTGCGTTGCTCTCGGTGGTTGATACAGTGCGAGAGTCCTTGCGAGCACTTGCAGTAATGAACCTACCTGTGGATCAATGGGATGCATTGGCGGTACCCATGATAGTGGCCAAGTTACCAACAATTACGCAACAGGCATGGGGCATGAGCCGCACAACTAATCAAATTCCTCCTTTGGCAGATTTGCTTGCATTTTTGGAGACACGAGCTCACAGTCTAGTTGGCACTGTTTGGCGAGAAATGGAGAGCAAACCAAAATCTGATGACAAGACCGCTACACTACAATATCGTGGCACATCTCAGGCTGATTATAAAAGGCCAGGCTCACGTCTAATGAGGACAAACCTAATAGCAACTACTTCAGGCCACTGCCAGTTTTGCAATGACGCATCGCACCAAATAGGCAAGTGCACCAGGCTATTGGCTTGCTCACCAGCGGAGCGCTTCACACTGCTTAAAGGCTCGAATCTTTGCTTCAATTGCTTGAAACCTGGACATTCTACTAAGGCATGTGGCTCAACTAATTGTCGCATATGCAATGGCAGGCATCACACTCTACTATGCCGAAGTTCACCAGCGCAAACTCCTCCTTTGCAAGAGTCCAAACAGCAGGCACAAGCTACACCTCAGGCACCAGCGAAACCGAACCAGGCTGGCATTCCACCACGTGTGCATCAGTGACTACACCATCCAATGCAGACATTCGCTACTATAGGCAATCGGGTTATACTCTTGGCAACAGCACAAATACGCATCTTAAATGGCTTTGGCGATATCGACTCGTGTCGAGCTCTATGCGATCCAGGCTCTCAGGTAAGTCTAATGAGTACGCGATATTTTAATCAACTGGCTCTGCGGAAGCAGAAAAGTGCATTGCAATTACAAGGCGTTGGCAGTGGCAATCGTTCATACACTAATGGCCGGGCAGTCTTGCGCATATTTTCGACTGTCAATGCTTTATTTGGCTTGGATGTTGAATTCTACATCATCAACAAAATTACCTCAGCAATCCCTGTGGCTCCAATCATGGAAAACTGTTGGCAGCATTTACGCAATTTGCCCTTGGCAGACCCGAAATTTGGCGAAACTGGTGTTATAGATGCATTGCTTGACTCAGACGTATGGGGCCAATTGTTGGCAGATGGCATAGTTCGTGGCGAGCTTGATGATCCTGTGGCACAAAATACGCAATTAGGCTGGGTTGTATTCGGACCAGCCGAAGCAACCGTGCATAATTACAAGGCGGAACAATCTATGGCATTGCGTGTGGAGGCGCCTGATGAGCGAGTTGATGACCTTCTACACAGGCTATTTGAATCCAAAGAAATTGACATGGCTAAAGGCGATACACTAGCAGCAGTTGATCTTTGCGAGTGCATTTTCATGAGCACACATAAGCGTTTTGATGATGGCAGTTATTGTGTACAAATACCATTTACACCAGATGCTCCACCACTTGGCAATTCACATCAGATGGCACTCAGGCAATTTCACCAGTTGGAACGAAAATTGGCATCCAACTCAGAGCTGAGCCAAAGATATGTGGCTTTTATGCGCGAATACGAACAACTTGGTCACATGCACCCTATTCAGCATCATTCAGGCGACCCATCTCAGGCATACTACATTCCACATCATGCAGTCATGGCAAAATTCCGAGTCGTATTCAATGCTTCCGCAAAAACATCGAATGGCATATCATTAAATGATACACAACTCGCTGGCCCCCCAATACAGGATTTATTACTTAACCTTTTGCTTCGCTTCAGGCAGCATCGAATAGCATTCACAGCTGATGTGGAGAAAATGTTCAGGCAAGTCAAGGTTGACGAGAGGCACAGGCAGTGGCAACAGATCCTCTGGCGGGAATCATCCGATCAGCCCATTCGCACATATCAATTGGCTACCGTTACATATGGCACAACTAGTGGCACATATTTGGCTGTTCGCGCTATGCAGCAATGTGGCAGAGACAACTCTTATAAACTCTCAGATGAAGTACGAGCTAAAACTGCTTTGCACAGCATCCTGTATGATTTCTACGTAGATGACTACCTTAAGAGTACACCTTCTATTGGCATGGCGATTCAACTGGCGGCCGATGTCTCATCTGTTTTGGCAGACGGTCAGTTCCATCTCAGGAAATGGAAATCGAATAGCGCTGAAGTCTTGGCACATCTTCTTGGCGATGCTGATCCATGTCAGCTTAATTCGCACTTGGCAGAAACTACTGTTCTTGGCTTACACTGGGATCCACTCACTGATGAACTCTTCTATCAGGTCAGCTCTTATGATGCACAACATCTTACGAAAAGGCAAGTGCTTAGCGATGCCGCAAAATTATATGATCCAATTGGCATGTTGGCACCGGTCATCATTACGGCTAAACTTTTCATACAGAAACTCTGGCAGGCAAAATTGGCATGGGACGACCCATTACCACTTGAACTGTTGCAAGAATGGCTTATATACCGAAGGCAGCTGTCCCAACTGGAGGCAGTGCGAATACCGCGTTGGATAGGCATGCAACCCGGATATCAAATACAACTTCACGGCTTCTGCGATGCTAGTGTCAAGGCAATGGCTGCAGCATTCTATTTGGCAACAAACCACAATGGCAGTATCACTAGTCACATTATCGCATCAAAAACTAAAGTGGCACCATTACATTCGGTAACAGTACCCCGATTGGAACTTTGTGCTGCGCAATTGTTGGCTACTCTTTTACACGAAACAAGGCAGGCTTTGCATTTGGAGCACGTACCATACACTCTATACTCCGACTCAAATATTGCTCTATGTTGGCTACGCAAAAACCCATCACAATTAAAGCAGTACGTTGCTAATCGCGTTGGCTGTATTCAATCGATGACAGATATCAGGCATTGGCATCACATTCCTACCAAACTTAACCCAGCTGATTGCGCCAGTCGTGGCATATCCCCTTTGGCGTTGCAAAACTACGCATTATGGTGGCACGGTCCTAATTCAACTGATTATTCAATCAATGAGCTGCACCACTGTGCACCAGCAGAGCTGGCAATAATGGAAGGCGAGTTAAAACCAGTTAAGGTAAAGGCATTGCAGGTAATAGGCCAACCCGCATTACAGACACACTACACTGCTGGCGACGAATTGGTCGTCATAGATCTGTTGGACCGGTTCAGTCATCTTGGCAAGCTATTGCGCACTACTGCATACATATTGCGTTGCAAAAAGGCACATCATCGTTTTCGTTCGCATACACACATCTGTACAGGCGAAATGGACATTGCTTTAAATCACCACATCAAGGCAGAACAAGCGAAATATTTCGCAGCGGAAATTAAGCAGCTGAAAAAGGCACAGCCCATATCCACATCCAGCAAGATCATTGCACTGAGTCCATTCATCAACTTCACAGCGGACAATATATTGCGAGTAGGCGGACGCCTACACAATGCGAGGGTGGCAGAGCCACAGCGTCATCCAATCATTCTTCCGAAGGATAGCACATTGGCCAGGCTTTTAATATGGCAGGTGCATCAGGACACACTTCATGGCGGTATACAAATCATGCTTCATACGATTCGACACAAATATTGGATTCTACAGGCACGCATTTTGGTTAAGCAATGCATACACTCATGCGCGATTTGCAGGCGGCATAAACACATAATGCTAAAACAACGTATGGCGACATTACCAAAGGCTCGGGTCACCCCATCTCCACCATTTGCAAGATCTGGCTTAGACTATTGCGGTCCATTCAACATACGCATTGGCTCCAAGGCTGTACGAACAGTGCGGAAGGCTTACGTGGCAATCTTTGTGTGCATGGTAACCAAGGCAGTGCACATCGAACTGGCTGAAGATCTCACTTCTGAGGCTTTCATAAATGCATACACCCGTTTCGTAAACCGGCGTGGTCCATGTAATCATTTATACAGTGACAATGGCACTACATTCATTGGCGCAGATCGCTTAATGGCCGCTGACTTACAGGCTTGGCATAATGAATATTCTCAACAGCAATTGGCAAATCGAGGCACAAAATGGCATTTTCTACCACCTGGCGCACCTCATCAAGGCGGTCTATGGGAAGCTGCCGTTAAGTCAGCGAAGAAGCACTTACTACGCATTGTTGGCACCCATTCCATTTACTATGGTCAGCTACATACTCTACTTGTACATATCGAGGCTTGCTTGAATTCACGTCCACTTATACCATTGCATGACACTTGTGACGACAAGATGGCTCTATCACCTGCAGATTTCCTGATTGGCAGATCTCTATTGGCAGTACCAGACGCACCTATTGGCAAAGTACCTAGCAACAAATTATCATACTGGCGACAATTAAGGCAAATGCAACAGCATTTTTGGCGACAATGGCATGATGAATATCTTTCAACTTTGCAACCACGTTCCAAATGGCATCAGAATGGCGACAACATCAACATAGGCGATGTCGTGGTTATCCGGCACGAGAATCTACCAGCTACACATTGGCGGCTTGGCAGGGTGATTAAACTTCACCCAGGCGAAGATGGTTTGGTCCGAGTAGTCACGATCAAGCATTCAGCAGGCGAATGCATGCGACCTATCCAAAAGATATGCAGGCTTGTGGAGCATCCTGAACGTACCCGTCCAGTCGGGGAGGATGTTTGAGATTTGGCACAGCAACTAGGCGATATGGCAGCACACATTTAGTAGTTTTTGACGATGGCATCCTAACATCTGGCAGCGATAATTTTGGCTTCGCTTTTTTGCTTTTTCCTTCTCCTTCTTCTTAATTGGCTACTGGCGGTGTGTGCACGTTTTTTTGGCTTGACAAGATATTAATAATTTATCAGTTCAAAATTTGAATAAGAATGTAATAAAATTTAATTGACTATGTATATCCTTAACGAATAAATACATAAACTTTTGCGTGTGTGGAAATTCGTGTTTGTTTTTCATACACATATATATATCTTTTTTTTTATTTCTTTTGTATTCTTTGCGGATCACTGTTCCGTTCAAAAAAACTTAACCAAGAAGACAGAAGATCCTCCGAATGGTCCTTTTATTTACTTTTTTATAACTGCTTAACTCAGACTTTTTAATCCGCCGTTTCGCGGTCAATAAACTCAAGCTTTCAAAAAAAAGCTTCCAATTACTTTGCTGTTGGTTATTCTTTCGTTTCTCGTCTTGCGCTGTTTATGCTGCACACTCTTTTCTATTCCTTTCTCTATTTCCCGCTGCAATATTTTGGCGATCAAACGAAAATGTAAAAAAACAAATAAAAATGACATCTCTCACGTTGCTGTTTCCCTTTTTTTGTTTGTTTTGATTTGTTCCATAAATGTGTTTGGGTGCTAGTTACTTTTTTCTTAACTATTATTATTAAAAAAAGAATTTATTTAAACTAAAGTAAGACGGATAAACCGAGAGGACATGTCAAATGTTATTATTCTATAAGTTTCTTTATTGTGGCATAGTTCTACTTTCTTAAGAATTTCCGCTTACATCCAGCAACTTCTTTCACAACACAACTCCACTGACATTATTGCTGTAGACCAGCCGTGAGAATCCGAGGTAATATCAATGAAATATTTGTCAATCAGTGCTTTTAATTACTTAATTATCCTAGGTCCTCAACGCTATAAGATCAATTTTATTTTTCTGCAAAATTGATCATTGCATTCCCCCCATACTTC